CTCCTATTCTGAAATAAGAGCATCGTATCTGCACATATAGATAAACAATGTGAAAAATACGCTTTTACAATAGTCGTACCTTAGTATAGGGATAGCTAAAAGACTTGAAACTTTCAACATACGATTTTCTCGTTAAAATCAGTCTCGGTGCAAAATTCGAAAATTAGTTTGTTGTGATGTTTCTATGAGAGACTGGCATGAGTCTCGATATGTAAACTGATGAGATGAGCTAGTAACTTCCAATTTCCGTGTTGTGTCTGTGAAAATTTTAAGTTGTTATTGGAAAATTGTCTGCAAGACACTTTGTTTTCGACTATCTGTCAATTTTTAGCCTTATTTCACTTATCAAAACCATCGAAAGCCCTTAAAACGAGGACATTAAGTTAAAGACTACCGTAAAAATGCAGTAGTTCCGAAGCAACAAGCTAAGAACTCAAAGTCTTTTCAGAGGATTCATTGTTTATTAGAATCTATATGATGAATACAGTCTTGAATTAAAAACTGAAGGACTTCCCTCGTAAGATTGGCAATATATGCGCAGAAGTATATTAAGATTGACTTACTTTTTTTCAATGTCGGAATTTTCCATCGAAGAAGTTGCTCCAAAACCATTAACATATGAAGTAGATGAATCACGTGATGCTGTATGAACTTGTTCTTGTTTTTTTGATTGTCGTCGACTTTGTGTATTAGTCGTTGTTTGTTGTTGTGTATTTGAGGATTTTTGTGACTGTTTTTTCTGCTGTTGATTTGTCGTATTAAGATTTGATAATGATGAGTTTTGTTTCTGTTGTTTATATGATAATGAACCATCATCATGTCCATTACTTGTTGCCATTGTCTGAATTTTATTATTACGTGTTGTTGTTGCTGTTGTTGTCTGTACAAATGAATTTAAATTCGATGAAGATAATCCATCAGAATTATTTATTGTCGTTGAATTTATTTTAGATGAACGTTTTGAAACTGTACAAAATGATGATGATGACGATGGTTGTGTTTGGGAATTATTAACTGTTAAATTATTTAATAATGAAGTTGAACTACAATTTGTAACAATCGTTGGTGAAGATGGTGGAGATGATGGAAAAGTTCCATCACCATGTGTTTGTGATAGATCATCATAACTTTCAGAAAATGTGCCTATTGGAAATAAAAACAAAAGTTCGGAGTAATTTACCTGAAAAAAAAAAGAAAAAGAATTTGACACTAACCCTTTTCTCTGCTCAATCGTTCTTTTTCTGCTTCTTGTTGGATTTCAACTGGTAATGCTTGATTGATTAACTGAGTATAAAATTCATTCGCTTTACGTACTTCACGTTGCTTTCTCTATTTAATTAAATGTAAAAAAAGTTCATTAAAAGAAAAAAGAAAGAAAACAATTCTTACTAATCGCCATTTATAAGCAAGATAAGTTTTAAAACCAAAACCTAATGTAACCATTGGATAGCCGATACTATAGAGTAGACAATAAAGAAATAATTTATATGAATAAGAAAATAAAATAAATACCAATGAGCGGCAAACGGTCGACAAAGATCAATAGTTTTAATTTCACGTAATCGTACTGATGCTTCTAGCCAAACGAATAGTACCCAGAGAACAACCGTACCAAGACAAATTCCACGTTCTAATAACATTTAATATTTTGTTAAGTTTTCTTTTTGTTTTTCAAATTTTACCTGTTTGCCAAACATATTGAATCCAAACATAACTACTTGCAGCAAAGAATAACCATTGAACAGGCAATAATATATAACAAATGAGATCGGTTACGAATGCAATAAGTACAAAGAATATTGAGAAAAGCTAAAAAGATAGAAAATATTTTTCTTTTCTTTTCATTAATAATTAACTTAAACTAACCAATCCTTGATATTTAAATGAATCACAAATACTTCGTAAGACAAGCCAAAATGGCCAAAGAAATTCGAAGCGAAATTCAAGCAAAAAATCAGCTGCCATTATAATACCCCATATACAAATAAATTTAAGATAGATTAAAGCACTAAATATATAAAGAATATTTAATTACAATGAAATAAAATCTTTTTATTTATTTATTTATTTTCTATTACCTTCCATAAATACCCTCAGTGAGACGTGGACGTCGAGTAGACTTGCGTACTTTTACACTGTCAAAATTGGTCCTTCGTTTCATTATTGTGATGAAACACAATAAATAATATTGTCATAGACAAAACTAAAATAAGAACAAATATTTTCTTTCTATTGAACAGTTACTACATGACACAATAACAATTTTGAGGAACGCAGAAGGATGGAAACATGGATTGCAACAGAACAGAATGAAAAAGTAAAAGCAAAAGCAGACATAAACATGAGTTCTATGGCTCTATATTTTGACGAGCGAGAGAGAGCGCTTAACTATACGTCGTAGATGTCACTAATTAACAGATAATAAATATTTAACAGGAAATCAATTAGTCACTTATGATTATAATGAACATTTTTCAATAATTCGAATGTCTTCCAATTCAAAAAAAAATATTTTCTTTTTCAAATGTAAATGAAATTTAATCGAGTTCATTTTTATTTTTATTGAAGTAGAAAATAGTTTACTTCATAAGCACTTCAAAAGCTTGACAACCTAAATTGTTATTACCTCGTTTTTTTTCTGTTTATTTTCTGACTCAGTAGAAAGAAAGAACTTTGACAATAAGAAAAATATATATGCTTTATAAGTTTTGTAGAAAATATGTGTTGAAATAAAAATAAAATGAATCCATTACTTTGATATTCCAATTAAGTATGTCTAAAACATGAGACAAAAGACGACATATTACATCAAGAATAATAGAAAAAAATGGTTTAAGTGTCTTGAAAGAGATGCTTTAAAATAGTATTCATTTTTGTTATTTTTTTTTATTTGTTGAAATAAAAAGAAATTTATTCACATATTATTAGAATAAAATTGTCACCAAAGAAAATTATTTTTTTTTATTGACACACAGTAAGCAATTTATATAGAGCACGTGAACATAACTTATTTCCTATCAAAAACGCATCTTTTTTTCCAGGGAAATAGTAAGTTTCAAGTATTCAACGAAAAAAAGTGAAACTCTTAAAGAAACACTTTGGATAGAGATTGCATGAAGGAACTCTTATCATAAACTTTGTCAGAATAATATTTATTTTGAAAATGAACTAATTTCACATCATTCGATAGAGTCTTTTATGCTGATTCTAAATACGTCATTATTTTACTCTTAAAAAGATTTGTAAGACAAGAATACAGAAAATTTTCAAAAAAAAAACGGTGTTTTTTTAGAAAAGTTCTATATCAGTTCAGAAGCATTCATACATCTTTATGCTAGCAAAGTAGACGTATCAGACAGAGAAAAATATTCTGTAAAAGTTTCATTGAATGTGAAACTGTTCCTAAGTGTATGCATCGTATATTACTCAGCACGATTTTTAGAACATTTTTAGTTGAGTAAGGAGGCGTATTTTCTCCAACAGAGAAACTATTAGAACAAAGTTTTTCATATAGAACGATAGAGCAAGAGCTCTAGTTTAAGAATCTGCACGATTTATTTCATAGAAATTTCTATTATCTTCTTGGAAAAGGATACTTTCATCTAAGATGACAAAAAACATGGTCATTTTTTGGGTCTAGGCTTTTCCGAAACCCTCAAAGACCTAAAATATTTTTTTTTGAAATCAAAAGGTCGATCATTGACGAAAATATATTGAACATTATTCAAATCGGAAAAAAAGTATTACTTTCATTTTTTTTTCACTATATGTTCACGTTGTTGTCGATTATGTGATGCACATTGACATCATCTTACGAGGAAATTTCTCAATGTATTAAATTGCTTTTCGATCGACGCGATGTTTATTTAACGAGTGCTAGTGAGTAATAAAAAAATTTAACTTAGGTCATTTGAAAAACTGACTGTCGAGTTTTGACTTCAAACTTTACATGAACAAAGTTCTCAATGAGATTAGTTGATTGTGGAAGTTTGAACTTTTCTAGTATTTTCATTGTGAAAATGTAAATATATGAACGAAATTAACTTTTACACATGAAAGAAATGTGAATATTCCATAGCTCAGTATAGAAGATACTTGAAAAGTTATAACTTTCCGGATGAACTGATCTCTTTGAGAACTTAGTTCGTGCAAAGTTTAAAGTCAGAACTTAAAAGTCGATTTTCCACGTGACTTGGTAGAGACCACAGATTTTTGTTGAAAAACCAAAATTATTCTAGAATTTTCTATTAATCATTAGTATTCATTAGATGAACATCCTCTCGGTGAAAAAATGGTTTGATACCAGGAGAGATCCTCTCATTAGTATTAATTAAAGCAACTAATTCGTTGTATTCTCTTTTAGTAGCTTTGCATTTTTTCGAAGTAATTCGCCAGTTAATGAATGTGATACACAGCATGATGCGCCTAGTTTGAGATCATTAAGAAAAAAATTGTTTTCTCTTATTTTGACATTCTTGATAATATTTATAGTTCTATGCTGATATTTTTATTAATCAATCAACTTGAATAGTGATGTTCTAAAAACTAATATAAAATTTAGTACCTTTACAAGCAAATCAAATCGATGAATGAATGCTTTGTAATAAGACTAACGACATGTCCATAATGTTACACAATTTCGTGGAAGTCTTTTAGACTATCACAGAAGAAATGATAGCCACATTCATTTTCTCAAGAAAAGTTTCTAAGAATGAAAAAACCAAGATCGATAAATTCACTATAATGAAAATAGAAGGATTATTTTAATATCAATTAATCAACTATAGCCCGTCCAAAAAGTCCGTGCGTGTGACTGTTTTTTGAATAACTCGAGAACGCAAACAGCTAGAGACCTGTAGCTTTCACCAATCGAAAGAGAAGGAGTTAGGGCGTCTTTTTCTCTGATAATGTATCAGACGAAATTCTTTTAAAACTGATCATTTTTGAAAAATATAGAAAAGAATGCATGAAAATGACATACAATACACGTGAAGTTTCGATTATGACCTTTGATTTAGATAGAGNCTATTATTATTATTATTTTGATAAAAATTATTTGCTGCTGATTGTGATGACATATCACTTGTCATTGTTTCACCACCACCACCACCACCTGAATTTGTACTAGTTTTTGTCGACTCGTAAGACATTTTATATTAATTAATATTCAACAATCATTATAAACTATGATCATAAAAAATACAATTAATAAATATAATAATAAAGATGAATAACTTACAAAAACAAATGAAATAGATGACAAGAGTCGAAATGACGACAAAATTAAAAAAAAGAATATTGAAAATGTCGTTTTCGCATCTGAAATAAGAAAATTCTGCTATATTTTTTTTTCCTTCTCTTTCTTTCTTTCTTATTGAACACAAAAGACAATATGGACTATATATATAGAACAGAGGTCGTCAGATGACTTTAAGAAGAAGAAATCAAAGAAAAGTAATCGAAGTTTTTTTAGAAAAATACTCATTCAATCATATTTAAAGAAGACATAACAAATAGGATATATTCTAAAAGAATAATACAACAACGCGCTTGGCCGCTCTCGCGAATCGGATTTAATCTTTTTGATTTTCGTAGCCATGATGGTAGAACTTAACCTCCATCTATGACACATGATTAAATGATCCAATTATAATTCTGTAAATTGAATTTATTTATCATTTTATAGTATTGAATAATTTTTTATTGAAAAACTATAAAGAAAATTTTAGAAGCAAAAAAGATCGGAAAATTTTTTTTTATCGAAATAAAAAAACATATTTATCTAAAGATAAATTCTTATTTGTCACTCAAGAACCAATGAAATAAAAATGTTATATGTTTAATACAAGGCATAAATATTTTATTGTACTATTATCGTGATGTTTTGGATTAACGACAACAATCGATTCACCTTTTGTTGGTCTCCATATGAGTAATTGTGCATTATTTGCCTAAATATAAAAGAAAATAATCTTTAATAAATAACTAATGATATTACTGATGGTCCTTGTAAAGCACACGATGGAATAAATATATTTCTTTTAAGAAAAATAGGTTGATCTGGTTCAGAATTACTTATAAGTTTAGCTCGTATTCCGCGATAAAGATTAGGTTTAACATCGATTTCAATTGTTTGTGTCCAGCGTATTGTACGAATTATTAATAATTCATTTTTTGTATAATTCATTGCACATAACCATACATAAAATCGTTGATGTCGATATGTATGTGTTAAATATGATTGTTCACCTTCACATGTTGGAATATCCCTTAAGAAAAACAAAAACAAAATCAAATCTATTGTTTAATGTTTTCTTTTGTTCTTTGTTTTGATTTACCATGGAATCCATGGTACAAATAAATCGCGCATACTTATTGTATATTCAGATTGTCGATAGATTGGACCTTGAATTGTCACCACTAAATGTTAAATTTAAATGTTAATAGATACGTGGAAACAATTGATTTGTTTTAAGCTGTGATTTAAATATTCAGTAATAACAATATTCAAATGATTAGTATAAAGATTGAATAGTCAATAGTTGAATTAATCTTAGATTTGGCCAGTGAAAAGTATAGATTTCATCAGTAGAACTTTCCGTATAGTACAAAGTATAGTTGTGCATTTGAATGAGTTTTCATTTCATACCTACGCATCCGTATGATCATCATACTCAGTTTTAGTTTTACAAACAGTAATCTTTTTCCTGTATAGTTTATAATAATGTTTTGACCATTTATTTATGTTGATGGATGTTTTTGCTCCATCAACATTATCAAATATAGTCTCATCAATCCAATATTTTGATTCCTTTCTCTGT